TATTATAACTTCCGATATTTCGTAATCGTTTTCCAATTTTCTTTCTTTCGTCGAAAATGATCCGAGTCGTACAATCGAAGCATTTCTAAAAAATTTTAAATAGTAATAATAATAATTATAAATCATTTTCGAAGTAATTAAAAAAAAAAAAATTAACAAACCGGCTAATTAAACAGTGTGCAGCTGTTAAAATGTCGTTTGTCGATAGTAAAGATCCTCCACAAAACCAAGAAACATCTCTGTTTGTTCTTTCACCAATTGCTACGATATATGGGGCCGATACGTCGATTTTAACTGGGGATCCCCCGACGACAGCCATTGCTATCCTTGGCATGAGTCTGACCGTTTCGCATGCATTTCCTACGTAACATTAAAAAAAATGAATTATTTATTAATTTTTTTCTTTTTTTTGCGGTGCAGTCAAAAAATCAACCAAAATTTATTATTATCATTATCATTTAAGTGCCGTTGACACGTTCAAATATTTCCCCTCCACCCCTCCCCTCCTGAAAATTTTTATACATTTTATATTTAAGTTCTTAAAAATCCCAAATAAAAACAAAAAAAAAAAATTTTCGACACTAAATACGTCGTCATTATTATTATTATTATTATTATTATTATTATTATTATTATTTGTTTAAACAACCCTTAATTAAATTTTAAAAAGAAAATTTACCACCATCATCATTATCATCGTAATCGTAATTTTTTCCACGATTTAATAATTTTTTAAAAAATTCGTTTCCATAAACTCCGATGAAAAAATAAAAAAAAATAAAAAAAATTGTAAAAACGATATTCATCGGTGGTGCGTGCGATAATAATAATAAAAAAAAATTATTAACAACCACAAGAACAACAACAACAAACGATATAATAATTAATAATAATAATAATACGCGACAGACAAAAAATATTCGTTTACAAAGCGCAAAAAACAACAACAACAACAACCGCGACTACGACAACCTTTTAACTCTTAATTTATTATAATCGACTGAGCATTAAATTGTCCTTTTTAATGGTTTCGTTATGTTGGCAAAATTGGTTTCCCATAAATTTCAATAAATAATTTTCGAGGAAAAAAAAAAAAAAGTGACGTGTAAATTTTTTTTTCTTCTGCTTTTCTTCTTCTTTCTTTCTTTTTAAACTTTTACCATTTGAAACAAAAATTTCATTTTCGTATGAAAAAATCATGACGACACTTTTCTATTTATCATCATCATCATCATCATCATCATCATCATCATCATCATCATCGTTTGATTCGTTTTTTTTGATATAAAAAAAAAATTTCCTTATTATTAATAATAATAATAATAACAACTCGTTTGATTTATTTTATTTACCTGGAAGTTTGACCCCGGAATAAGGTCAAAAAACTTTTTTATTATTAATAATATAAATTTGATTGAAAATTTAATAATGATAATAATAATAATAATAATAAAACAAGTTAAAATTTTTCATTTCTCGTTAATTATCAATCATATATTTAGAAAAAAAAAAAATTTTTTTTGATTGAAATTCGCCATATTTAACGTCATAGTTATTTAACGCGAACTGGAAAAAAAATGAAAAATTCGGTCCTTGAATCATTTTTCATTATCATTATCAATCAATCATTTCTCCTTCGATCGATCGATCGATTGATCGAACGACGACGACGACGACGACGACGACGATGACCGACAGCAAAAAAAATTTTATTAACGAATCGGATCAAGGATGAAACATTTAAATTCAATCATTAAAACAAAAAAAATTTTTTCTCTCGGTTTTTTTTTTTACACAAACGACAGAAACTTACAGGAAACGGAAGTTTAAGTTTTTTTTTTTTTTAATATAATAATGATAATAATATGAATTAAACAAATTACGCAATAACAAATGTCTTAATTAATAATTTAAATAAAACATTAAAAACTTAATTAATTACTACAACAGCGGAAGTGGAAGTAAAAAAGAAGTCTAAGTAATAATAATAATAATGAAACGGTTTTTTTTTTTAACTAAGAGAACGATGATGATAATGATGAACGTTACACATCATGGCGGACATTTTTTAATTAACATTTAATTAATTGAAATTAAAAAAAAAAAAATTTTTATTTGAATAAATAACGGAAATTAAAATTTTTCGGACATTTTTAAAAATTCGTTTCCTTTTTGAAACGACGAATCGATAGATCGATAGATCGAAATTATAAATCCGGAAATGATGGAATTTTTTTTGTGTCGTCTGCTTCACTGCTTTAATTCGTGTAGGTACTCGTGAATGATTTTTGTTTTGTTTCGGTGGGGGAGTTTGTATTGATAATGAAGAATGTTTTTCGGTGATTTATAAGTTTTTTGGTTTTTGTTGTTGTTTTTGTAGTTGTTGTTGCCATTACGTAATAATTGTGAAGGCGTTAACAAACAAATAAATTTTGCACATTTTCAAATCATTTGATTGCAAAACGTTTCGTAATCGATTTAAAGACGTGCCATTTTTTTTCTAAGAAAAACATGATCGAGTTTATGTATAACAAAAAAACATGATTTCTTATCGTACCAAAAAACACGATTGTTTTCATTTTTTTTTGACACACGTCGTATGTGGGTGGTTATTATAACGAACATACGAAAACATTTAATTATTATTATTATTATTATTACAATTATTCTACGAATAAAAAGAGAGAAAAAAATTTATTTGTTAATACGACGAAAAAAATTTTTTCTTTTATTATGGAACCAAGGGCAATCCTTTCTATTTGCGGTTTTTTTTTTTTTTATTATTTTTTGCTACGAGTAATTTTTTTAAACTTTCTTTTATAATTTTTTTTTGCTTTTTTTAAAGGTCGCGCGCAAATTTTTTAAAAACGAAAAACGAAAGAAAAAAAAATTTTTTTTAAACTCGTAATAATCGTTTAAAATTTTGCGGTTTGAATAAATGTTGTTAAAATTCGTTTTAAAATTCTTACGTAAATTTTTTTTTGTTTGTTTCCATTAAATTATTATTATTATTACTATTATTATTATTATTTCGATGGTAACAAAAACAAATTATGTTTTAAAAAAAAAAAAAAAGATTGATGTAAATCTTTTTCTTAACAAGTAATTTATATTAGGTATAATTTAAAAGTGTAAATAAGAAAGTTTTTTTTTTTTTTTTTTAAGGAGGAGATTGGCCAACCTGAAAATTAACATCACGATTAGTTTCATTGCTTAAGGTAAATAATAATAATAATAAAATTATTGTTAATTTTTTTTTTTATTCGGATTGCGAAGGTGTCGATCGATAAATTGTAAAAAAAAACATGATGGCAGCAACAATTGTTGTGACGAAAAAAAAACGTGTCAGTAGAAAAACAAAAAAAACGTACGGTAATTTTCTTTTTTTTTTTTTTTTTTTTGCGAAATAACAACTGAATCATAAATTTAAATTTTATTCTAACGAATACGGAGGGGAAGTACCTACCCGATCGATATGATAAATCAATTGATAAATTAATAAGAATTAGTGAGGTGGGGCATTTTTCGGGTGTGATTGATTGACATCCCCTAAAAAAAATTTTTCCTTTTTTTTTTTTTATTACGAATCGATAAAAAAGAAAAAAATCAAAGGAATTAAACCTTTGAAAAAACTTTTCCGGTTTAAAATTTTCCGTCATCATCATCATCATTCATTCGTAAATAACCGAAAAAAAAAAATGTTCTTAGAAAATTTTTATTCGTTTCCCTTGTAAAAATTAATTAAGGAAAACTTTCGTTTAAAGGGCAGTCGTATCCTCCGACACACCTACCAACCTTTAAAAAAAAAAAAAAAAAATTTATCAAAATGGATTCCATTCGTACGTATAATTTTTTTTTAAATTACGATGTAATCATTCGAACGCTTACACGTTCGAATTAATATTTTTTTTTTTCGAATGTTCGTCGTCGTAACGATGATAATAATGATAATGATCATAATAATAACAATACGAGAAATCATTTATCAAGGACGGATTAAGAAGATTGAATTTTTGAAAAAAAAAAAAAAAAATCACCGACGAATTTCACTCGCAGCACGTAAGAAATAATAATAATAATAATAATAATGACATAATTTTTTATTGTTGTTGTTGTTGTAAAAACTATTGTGAATTTATTATTATTATTATTATTATTATTATTATTATTATCGAGAATAATAATAATTTATTACTTAAATCAAACGCTTGGAAAAAAAAATTTTTTTTTTTGTTTAATCAACTTAACCGATATAAAAAAAAAAAAACCGAACGTGAGATTTTTATTAAAATTTTTATTTAGTTGAAACGTTCGAACGCGGATGTTAATACGTAATTAATTAGTAATAATAATGATGATGATGATGATAATTTTAAAAGACAAAACACGGTTTCGACGAGTACGAATTGCTTTTGCTTTTTTTGTTTTTTGTTTTTGTTTTTTGGGTAATTAAAACGTTCGTAACGGTCGTTTTTATTTAAATTAACGTAAAGGTCAACGTTCGACATATTTCCATGTAAAAGTTTTTAAATGAGTTGTTTGTGTTTTGTATTACGTAATTTTTTTTTTTAGGGCCGTAAATAAAATTTTTCGGTTGAATGGTTGGTTGGCGTTCGTTTTAATTGTTCGCCCCATTATTTATGTACGACACGATGATCGGGGGGGCGTCAACCTCGATTATGGTTATCCTGTAATTTTTTTACATTTTTTTTCATTCATCGTTTTACCACCGTCATGTTTTTTTTTTTTTTTTTTTAAAGAAAAAAAATCAAACAAACGGTTGTCATTACTTTTTTTTGTTTGTTTGTTTGTTTTTATCCGTTGTAATTATACAAACAACAACAACAATCACGGCGTGACGGTAATAATAAAATGGCTGGAAAAATTTTTTATTCATTATAATTTTAAGGCTCGTACGTAAGTTAATTTTTATATAAAACGATTGATTTATTACGTAATTAAATGACGTCAATTTTAATTTCGTATCGTGGCACGTAAATATCGTGTCACTAAGAAAAAAAAAAAAAAAAAAAAAACTTTCATCTTCGTTACACTCTTTATTATTAATAAAATTTAGAAAGTGTTTTTCATATTTTAATTTTTTTTTATCATTATTATTTCATCAGGCAATGACCCTCTCTCTTTCTCTCTCTCTCTCTTTCTCTCTCTCTCTCTCTCTATCTCTCGTAATTTTTTCTCTCATTAACACTTTTTAATTAATTTCTAGTGACACTTGAATAATAATAATAATAATAATAATAATAAATAAATTATCATAGCAAATGTTTTAAATTTAAAACGAATTAATTATAAAACAAAATGTTTTGTCAATTA